TTGGGGGGGGGGGGGGGGGGGGAGAGAGAGAGAGAAGGCCGGGATGGTGAGCGGTGTTGCTTTAAAACCATTCAAACGCTGTAGATTGGCTCGCGTGCTTTATTTTTCGGCGGCCAAAGGAAGTCACAAAGTAATAAGCTCTCGGTTTCACAAACCATTGTGGTTGGAGCAAAAACTATATGCTCTGTGTTTTACACACACACACCCCTCACATTTATTAGGGCATAAACTCTACTCAAAAGATAACCTCATGCGGTTCAGCTGCAGCGGTTCCAAAGATTGCCGTTTTATTCATGACTCAACTTGTAGATTACCTCTGAATAACTACATGTAAGACAGCTTTCTAACTGGTTCTCCAGTGACCTGCTGAATCACTGCCTGTCGGGTAAACGTGAAGGGCTTTAAAGACCAAATAGACTGGTTTGCACAACATGCTAACACCAAAGGCACCGCAGTGTGACTTAGCATGATGGAGTTGTAAACTATGATTTTTGACCTAGCGTCTGGCTTATTCAACGAATTCTGGAGTTTAGCTTCCAGAATTTGGAGCTGGCACTGCCAAAGGCTGGGGATGCTAGGAATCGTCGCGCAGCCACAGATCTTCCGCTCCTATTAGAGCAAACGCTTTTCTAAACACAGGCTGACCGCAGACTGTGCGAAGAGGTGATGCAGTGAGAGCAGGAGAAAGGAAGGGCTGCCGGCTGCAGTGGCTTTATCAGGAAATTACACTGAGGGTAGTGCCAGTCTAAGTAACTGGGCAGAGCGCTCCTTAGGATCAGTGGAAGGAGAGACTGTAAATGGTGCCTTGCTGTTGCGTTGAGAGCTCGCTTTCGGCATGCCAGGAGCTTTTACCTGACCAGGTAGAACCCCAGTGGAGTAAGTAGGCCTTAGCCAAGCTCCTCACAGCTCTTGGGATGTCCTGAAGAGGGAGAATATAGTGCGCCTCCCTCTGGAAGCATGAACATATGCCTGGAAATTTCTTCCTTCCAAATGCTGCTTAGTATACAGAAGGGGAAGCCCCAGCGTCTTGTCATCTGCATCATGTGTAACTTCTCCCATGTTTCAAGTTATGTTTTTAACTGTTCTCGGGAAACTCCCTTGGGGAACTCTCCCTCAACTGTTCTGTTCTTGTGGCACTGTGAGGCTTGCCTGAGTTCTGTTATAAACTGGTTTCATTTTTTGAATTCTCCCTCCCAGAAATAATTAGTGTTTCAGATTAGGGATTAGCAAATTTCAACCATTTATCCTCCCCCATCTTTAAAGATTCATTTATTGCGATAATTGCTCAGAAGTAAACAATATATTCATTTTTACTTAGCTGAATTAGAATACATTGCCTATCTTAGGTCAGTGTTGTAAGCATTTGATCAATGGTGCAGGCCCTAGCAGAAAACAGGATTACAGTTGGTGTCCTTTCTGGATAATAATTTAGCAGTCAGCAGAAATGGTCGACGCTTCAGCGGTTCGAGTCCAGCCTTCGCGTTAGCAGGGTGAGCACCTGTTTCCTCCCCAGTTCCTGTCAACCCAACAGGTTGAAAACTCACGTGAGTAGATAAATGGGGACCCTCAATC